ATCACAATGCTAAACATAAAGTCATAGAATTGTTTTGGTTTTTTTTTTTTCAGCCAGAGATAAGGTTTATTAGAACATCCACCATATTGGCCAGACTCTTAAGGAATCTCAACATTACTGAGCTGTTGGCTAGATTATAAAAATCTGAGCAGTGGCTAGATTTTAAGAATCTGAGCACCTTAATGGAGGTAAGATGGACATTGTATACAGAAAGACTGTGGGAGGGATCTAGGAGTGGCCAAGTAGCTTGGGGTGACTGGAAGAGGGGTCTCAGGAAGATCTGGATGGGAGTGGCCAGTAAGCTGGGGTGAACAGAATGCCTGGCCCTGACTACGTGGCCAAGGGAGTCTATGATAGGATTAAGGGTGGAAGTGGGGGTGCGGGGGGCATCTGGAGGTAGATTGGGCAACAATGAAAGGCCAGTTGATAGGATTATAGCCTCAGACAAATGCCAGAGAATTGGCCTTGTGGGAAAGTCCAGGGTTTTTCCTTTTTATGGTCTAGATTCCATCCTCATCATTCCCCCCCTCAAACAAATGGGCCCCAAATTCTTTTAGAGTAAGGGGCAAAGGTCTTGGCTTCTAAAACTGCTTCCTGCTGGCAAGGGGCTAATAGCTGTCCCTGCCTTGAGGGGGTCCCAAAGAGGAGGTTGACTGGAACCTAGCACAGTCTGCATCCAGGGAACAATGGGGAGACATTGGCTAGTACCCACTGTTTGCTACCGACTGTAGGTGAATGGCCTGTAGTCTTGAACACACAAATCTGACAGAAAAGACTGCAGGGTCCAGATATGACAGGATAAAACATCCTTATCTCTGTTGGGAGTTAGATACTCAGTTTTCCAACCATGCAGTATCAAATCCTCCTCATAGCCAGACTCAGGAATAGCCAGGTGGGTAGCATTCCTTTTCGAGGAACATGATGGGAAAACTGAGCCAGAAGGATCCCATCTTAGACCGAGGCTAAAATTGTCCTCTCAGCTTTTCCCAATGCTGACTTCCCACCAGTTCACATTCTCTCTGAGTAGCATGTGGCATTTCTCTTAGATGGTGGATTATTGATTATCGATGGGTTATCACCCATCAGACATCTCAAAATAAAATCCTATGAGCTTTTACCTCAAACAGCAAGTTTCACTAATCATAGCTTAGGAAAAACTTTTCCAGGATTTATATCTCAAATTTAAATTTGTCTTGGTGTAAAAAACCAATCGTTAGAAATTTCTATATGCTTGCAAATTCTCAGCAAATCAAAACCCAAACAAGCTTTTTGGCAAGTTTACACATTAAAACGATAACCAATAATAGCCAATATTTTAGTGGTAACCAAATTATGAAAAGTTGCTTGATATAACTGATACAAAAAGTTCACCGATTTGAAACTTGAAACAAAGCCATTACCAATCAAGTGACTTCAATTTTGTTAAATGTTTCTAAATTACACAGAGAATCAACATCTCATCATCAACAGTTAAAACTATAACTTTAAAAGAACGTGCTTACCCGAGTACAGAGGCTAGCTTCTTAACCTTGAGCAGGATGTGCTGAACCTGGGCAATGCTTCCAGGCAAAGGTTGCCCCAGGGCCCAAGTCCATTGCCAATGGGGCCCATGCTTTAGAAGAGGAATTGGGGTGGGGGAGGAAGGGTGAAACTCTTCTCCTACGAGCAGAACTCAAGGGAAGGGAGTGGGAGAAGGGAATCACCAGGGTTGTAAGGAGGTGTCTCAAAACTCTTTAATGATCAATCACAAAACCTCCAGAATCTGCTCGGATGTTTTTAGCTGTTCTAACTTTTCCCTGTAACCTCCATGAAGGAGGATTCAGGGGTGTAGAGGGAAGGGAGTAAGTGAGCCTCAGGGAACAAAAAGCACCTGCGGTTTTCCCAATTCCCTAGTGCTGAGAGAATTGACAGAATTGGGCATATGCTTCCTGATAGGGTGTCTGTCCTTGTCCTCTGTGGTACGGAAGGTGCACCCAGGTCCATGGCCTCAAACTGAACCAGTGGATCAAGAACCTGAGAGAGTTAGGTCGAGTGTGAGACAGCCTCGTAACTGTCTGCCCGAAAAGCACCTCCAAGCCTTCCTAGCAGCTTGGAGAGTGACCCCGACTGCAAGGCAAGAAAGAAGAGAAGACTTAATATACCTCCGGTCTTGGCTGGAGAAGAACTTGGAGTTAGGCAGTTTCCTGTATGGGCCACCAAAATGTTGAGGTTTAGGGGTGCTGGGACCCTGAAATCATGACACACAGGTCCTGTTTGAACGAATTCGACCCAAGCCTTCTTTTAGCCAGAGACAGGTTTATTAGAACATCCACCATATTGGCCAGACTCTTAAGGAATCTGAGCATTACTGAGCTATTGACTAGATTATAAGAATCTGAGCAGTGGCTAGATTTTAAGAATCCGAGCTTAGAATTGTTTTAAAAAAATATTTTGATCACTATGTTTCAATATAATTGATTTCCTTCATAATCCTATGTATTTTATTTTTGTTATCTAAAATTATATTTATTATCTAAAAACATTATTCTGAGAAGGGGCCATAGATTTCATTAAACTGCCAAGGGGGTTGGTGACTCAAAAAAAGCTAAGAACTTTTTCTGTAGAGGCACCTAGGTGGTGAAGTAGACTACTGCACTTGGAATCAGGAAGATCCCGAATTCAAACCCTGATTAGACACTAAGCTCCAAGACTGCAGGCAAGTCATATGACCTCCCTCAGTCTCAGGTTCCTCCTCTATAAAATGAGAATGACAGTAGCACCTACCTCACAAGCTTGTTGTGAGGATAAAAGGAGAAAAAATATGTAAATTGCTCCTCAGACCTTCTGGCCCTATATAAATGGTAGCTATTTTCTTCTTCATCATCATCATTCATTATTTGTTTTCAATGGCCTTGTGCCTTCCTTTAAGAATAAACATCTGCTGCCTCGGGACTTTTCCCTTCTTATTTCTTGTCCAGACCATGAGCAGACACTCACCATATCCTTATTCAAGGAGCAAGTAGTCCCAGAATCCTAGAACCTGCTTTTCTTTCACTATATATCTAAAAAGCACAATCTCTTCTTAGCAAGGCCACCTTCACATTTGGATCTTTACCAAAGTGTAGATTCACATCTAGGTGAATTTCACATTCACAATCTAGGTGAATTTTGGCCCACTGTTTTACTCAGGTAGGACTGGATGGAGAATAGATCCTTTTGTCTAGATTGCTCAAAAAGGGAGGCTTGAGATGAATCTCTTTGTCCAAGAGAGCTGATATGATTAGAGTCACATCTCCCAGCCCCTCATTAGAATAAGTCCACCTCTCATTATAATATTCATTTTCTCATTAATTGTTGACCAATCAGAACTGATTTCCACCCATCAGAGACAGCCCCTTTTTCAAAGATATTTAACCATTTGATGGTCTCCAAAGTTTGTCTTTGGTTTCTGAGAGAACCACTGATCTCAATTTATTAATTATCTGCTAGCCATAATTAATAAATTGATTATTAATTACCCAGAAACTCTGTCTCTTGAGCTTTTCATTCCTCTCAAAACCAAATAAATTGTGGTATGAATTTACCCCTGGCCTTAGAGTACCTTTGAGTAACAAGATTTATTCAATATCATAAATGAAGTTATAGGTGAATATGTCTTTTTATGGTCTTTTGATGTTGGAGTTATTTTGGTTGTTATTCAGATAGAAGATGGAGGGGAGCTTCAAAACACTTCGATTACTATTTTAGTTGTTCTTTGAAATTGGTGATATTTTTCAATTTCCATTCACCCTCTCCTTCGTTACAAAGTTGAAACATACATAGCATGTTCATTTTAAGTAATAAAAGATTGCAAGGTTAGGTTTATAGCAGCATCTCTTAACCTGGGATCCATAGATCCATTGATAGATTTCAGGGATGTCTATGAATTTGAGGATGGTGTTGCCCTCTACAGTAACAGGGAAAGTAGAAGGGGTGAGGGATTGGGGAAAGATAATAAGTTCTATTTTAGATATGTTGAGTTTAAGATGACTCCTACACATTCAGTTTGAGATGTCTGAAAGACAGTCGGAAATTTGAGATTAGAGGTCAGCAGAGAGATTGGGACAGGATAAGTAGACTTGAGAATCATCTGCATAGAGATGGTAATTAAATCCATGGGAGCTGATGAGATCACCAAGTGAAGTAGTATAGAGGGAGAAAAGGACGAGGGTCCACCTCCATTTAAAGGATGAGGATCTGTTGCAGTTTCATGGTGTGTTGTGGTGGCACCTTCTCAAAGAATTCAGTCAGACCACCTTAAAAGATATATCTAGTTGTTAGAAATTATATCTAATTGTTAGAAAGAATTCTTCTTTATTGAGCCTGTGTCTGTTCCTGTTTTATCTAATAAGATATCCAGCTTTCTATAGTGTCTATTTCTGCCCCCTCAGACCATACAGGATTAGTCCAGTCTGTATTCTACATGGCGGCCTTTCGGATGGTTGAAGATCTATATCAACATCCTGTTACTCTGTTCCAAATAGCATAAAATATAATTGGTTTTATTGTGACTGACTGACTTTAACTTGGCTTTTGTGTTGCTCAAGGTCAGGGCTCAATCCTTGAGATTTGCTGTTGTGTTGGTAGTGTATTTGTCCTCTTAGCCTATGCCCAGCATTTATCTCACCGTCTCACTGTTGGCATTTTGTTTTCCTTCCTCTCCAAAGATAAACCAGTAAAAATATGGTTCCTAGTTCTGTTTTTTGAAGGCTTTATTTCTCTTTCCACTCAAAGTGCTTCCTGAGATGAGTGTCTGTAAGATTGCACAGAGATGGTTTTTCCTTGTATTTTAGGTTACTGTGATTGATTTCTTCCCATTGATTCCTTATGGGAAACACTGACAGAAACCTCAAACTGCAGTTCACTGTTAATACATTGGAGGAAACATTTGCAGTATAGCCAAGGGGTCAGTATTGCTTTGGAGGGTTATCAGGGTCATTAGAAATCAGTCTGTAAACTGTCACATCCTTGAATGTTTGTAGGCAGCTTCCAGCCATCAATTTTTCAGCACTCCTGCTGCACTCCAGTACAGCTATGAGAGCCAGTCAGGAAGAGTTTGAAAGGGCAAAGGGGCAAGCAAAACTCTTGAAGGAGGATCCAGGAAATGAAGTGAAACTAAAACTCTATGCACTGTTTAAACAGGTAAACGCAGCATGTTTGTCCTGGGTGGGAGATGATTGAAGGTAGTTTTTTTTTTCCCCCTAAATAAACTTTTTTTAATTTAAGATTTTATTTTCCCCGATTACATATAAAAATAATTTTTAATGTTCATTTCTTAAAACTTTGAATTCCAAATTCTCTCCTTGCCTCCCTCCCATCCCCCCCTCATTGAGAAGGCAATTTGACATAGTTTATACATGTATAGTCATGTAAAACTTATTTCCATATTAGTCATGTTGTGAAGGAAACACTGACCAAAAAAAAAAAAACCCCAAAGAAAATAAAGTAAAAAAAAGTATTATTGAAGGTCATCTCGAGGTCATCAAATGTAAGTAGTCAAGTCAACAAACATTTATGAAGTGCTTGTTATGCACCATCTCTCCAATCCAGACAGTTTCCCTGGTTGTCTCCCATTCTTGGAATGCTCTCCTCTCTCATCTCCACCTCCTAGATTCCTTCAAGCCCCAGCTAAAATCCTACCTTCTTCAGGAAGCCTTTCCCAACCTCTCTTAATTCTAGTGCCTTATCTCTGTTGATTATTATTTCCTATTTATCCTGTGTATATGGCTTGTTCACTGAATGGGTGTTGCTCAGACAAAGTGAGACCTGGGAAAGACCTTAACTTAAAAAGGCTAAGGTCTCCCAGTGCATCTGGGGTTATTGAGAGAGAGTAAGAGAGAGAGAGAGAGAGAGAAACCTGCCTCACTTAAATCCAGTTGACTTGCAAGTCAAGATAGCACCCTCCTGATGTCATTGGTCCTCTTAGAGGAGAAAAGACAAGCAACATAGTCGCTTGTATGTTGTCTCCCCCATTAGATTGTAAGCTCCTCAAGGGCATGGACTGTCTTTTGCTTTTTTTTGTATCCCCAGCTCTCGCCACAGTGCCTGGCACATGTTTGTTGTTTATTCATTTCAGTTGTGTCCAACTCCTCATGACCCCATATGGGTTTTCTTGGCAAAGATACTGGAGTGGTTTGCCATTTCCTTCTCCAGCCCATTTTACAGATGAGAAACTGAGGCAAAGAGAATTAAGTGACTTGCCCAGGATCACACACAGCTAGTAAGTGTCTGAGGCCAGATTTGAACTCAGGATGATAAATCTTGGGAAGATAAGGCACTCTATCTACTGAGCCACTTAAGCTGCTCCCTGACACTTTGCAGGTACTTAATAAGGATCTTAATAAGGATCTCATAGTCTAATGGGGGAGAGTATCATCTACTTTCCTAAAATTTGATGTACAGTTTAATTTACTTTCCTACTATGGTGAAGAATATAGTTTCCTTATAAAATATATCTTTTAAATGGTAAAATGGTAAAAAAAAAAATTACCTTGGAATATTTTCGTATGTGACCAATTATAATAAATTATTCTTTATGGATTAATTATCCCTAAATTGATTGATTATGCCTTGTATTGACTCATCCAAATCCTTTGTTTTTCTCTTGTTTTCCCTCTCAGAAAAGCATGATCATGAGTAGCAAGAGGGCTAAATTCTAATCCCACCTCTGATACTTGGGGCTGTGAGACCTTTAGATAAGACAATTCACTCTCTGGACCCCAGTTTCCTCACTATACCATGGAGATAGTCATATTTGCTCTACTTGCCTCACAAGGGTGGTAGCAGAGAAAATATTTTGTGAACCTTAAGATGTTCCATAAATATTAATTCACTTTAAAGGATTTATTTTAGCACCATGGTCAGAAAGTAGTCCCTAGGGGCAGCTAGATGGCACAGTGGATAGAGCACCAGCCCTGGAGTCAGGAGGACCTGAGTTCAAATCCGGCCTCAGACACATGATGTTCTCTAGCTGTGTGATCCTGGGCAAGTCACTTAAACCCCAATTGCCTCACCAAAAAGAAGAAAGTAGTCCTTGACAAGGAGGAGAGGTGAATTTCAGACCGGTCTAGTTTAAGGTTAAACTGGGAGGCACAGTGATAGAGTCCCTGGTCTTCTTGAGTTTAATTCCAGCCTCTGACACTTACTTGCTGTGTGACCCTGGGCAAGTCACTAACCCCATTGCCTCAGTTTCCTCATCTGTAAAATGATCTGGAGAAGGAAACCATTCCAGTACTTTGCCACGAAAACTCCAAATGGGGTCATGAAGAGTCAGACAGGACTGAAAAACAACCAAACAACAACAAAAGCTTAAGGTTAACTGCATATTGTTCTCAGCCCAAAGTCACCATCACCCTCCACCTTCTTCCTTTCCTTTCTCCGAGACTCCCAAGCAATGCTAGAACAAGTCATGAAACCAAGTCAACTCTAAAGTGACCTAACTTGAGTTTAGCTCCCACTGCTACCCTTTTATTCATCTAAATTTACCTCCTGTCACATTTTCCTCAGCAATTGTTCCAAACCTTCAGCTGTTCCCTCGGGCTCCCAATACTGCCTCCACCTTGCAGTATTTCTGCAGATAAGCTCGTCTCCTGTTTAATTTAGAAAACTGATCCTCCTAAATGGTCTCCTGCCTCAAACTCTCCTTTCTCCGTACATCCTTCACATAGCTACCAAAATCATCTTTCCAAATATGTCGTTCCCCTATCCAAACCTTCAGCTGCTCCCTGTTCCCTCTTAGATAAACCCATCTCCTTAGCCCGATATTTAAGGACCGCCACTATCTGGCCCCAGCCTACCTTTCCAGCTTTATTTCATATTACTCCCCTTTGCATTCTTTGTGTTAAAACCAAACTGGACTACTAGCCATTCCCCCAATTAGCCATTGAGCTCTGAACTTTATGCAGCACTCATGTAAGCTATTTCCTCATAATCCCATCTCTTCCTTTCAGATTCCTCCGACACTTAGTAGCTGTGTGACCTTGGGGAAATCACTTAACCTTTCCATCAGCCTCAGTTTCCTCATTTGTAAAATGGGGGTAATAACAGCACCTTATCTCATAGTGTTGTTTTGGGACTCAGAATGAGATAATACAAGTAGAGCACTTAGCAAACTTTAAAATGCTGCGTAAATGTTAGATATTAGAGAAGCAAAAAGAATACACATTTATATAGTGCCTATTATGTGCTAGATACTGTGCTAAGAATTTCGCAAATATCTCATTTTATCCTCACAACGCTGCAAGGTAGGTGCTGTTATTATCCCCGTTTGAGGAAACTGAGGTAAGTGTCTAAGGACGGATTTGAACTAGAATTCACTCCACTACACCACTTAGGTGCCTCTAATTTTATTGCTATTTCTCCATGTCCCCCAAATTTGCCTACTTCATAGCCTTGATATTTGGGACCCCTACATGTACTTGTAATTGAGGGCTAATGTTGCATCCTTCCTGCTCTTTCTACAGGCTGCTGAGGGGCCGTGTACCTCACCAAAGCCAGGTATGCTTGACTTTGTCAACAAGGCAAAATGGGATGCGTGGAATGCTCTTGGCAGCTTGCCAAAGGTGAGTCTCACGATCAATGCTACTGTCCGTCCTTTCCCTTCCATACTAAAAGAGAGTTTCTTGGTGATGTTTGCAGTTCAAACCACCAGAGCTCAATCTGCCCAGCTCTTCAACCAAGGTCTCCATATCTGCTGCTTTACATGATGCATTCCTTCCTTAACAGAATTATTATTTCTCCTAAACTGTCAACCAGATTTGCAGCACATGCAGCCAGCTGATTTTATCTGTTTGTCATCTTCATTCACAGGACACTGCCAGGCAGAATTATGTGGATTTAGTATCAAGTCTGGTTTCCTCTCAGTCCTTAAGCCAAGAAAAGACTTCTTCTAATGATAAAAAACCTGAATATGAAAACCTGGTAGTCACCAGGGAAGGCAATATTACAAAGATCATGTTAAACCGCCCCACCAAGAAAAATGCTATTGATGTTAAGGTAAGGAAACTAGTTATACTGAATAGTATTTTTGTTGTTCAGTCATTTCAGTCACATCTGACTCTTTGTGATCCCATTTGGGGTTTTCTTGGCAAAGGTACTGAATGGTTTGCTGTTTCCTTCTCCAGTTCATTTTACAGATGAGGAAACTGAAGCAAACAGGGTTAAGTGACATGCCTAGGGTCACCCAGCTAGTAAGCACTTTGCCTTTTTTTCAGTGCTTCTCATTTAAATACTCAGGACTTTCAAAATAGTTCTTGTTTTTGAGATAATCCCTTATTGTGATCTGTAAAGTACCATTCGGTTAGGAGAGAAATCTTTACTTCCTGTACAAATAGACTTCTTACAAACAGAGAAGCAGTCATTAAAGATCTGAGTCAGTATTCAGAACTTGTGAACTCCCAAAAGATCTCAAAAGATTTGGGATGTTAACTTTTCTTTATAACGAATTGAATGACACGGTACAGTGGGAAGTATACTGTTGCTGCAATCAGAGAACCTGGGTTCAGAACCTACCTCTGACTCTGCTAGCATTTGGGCAGGTCACTTAACTCCTCTGGACCTCAGTCCCCTTACTCATAAAATGAAGGTGTTAGACCAGATGGCCTCTTAGTTCCTTCTAACTCTGCATCCTGTGACCTGCCAGGGAGAAGGAAGAGGCTCTGAGGCCTCTAAGATACCCTTTCAAATCAAGTAGAGCATAAGGGTGGACTACATACTAATTAGTGTTTCCATTGAATTGCCAGCCAGAATTGAACCGCCTCCTGAAGCTGTCTATCCTTCATCTTTTGTTTTCCCATCATTGAACTATACAAATACTGAAAAAATCTCCATAGCATAGGGAATTCTTAGTGTGGGATCTCCTTCTACCAGTAAAGATTGCAACCACTCTTTGACTTGATAGATAAGTCCTAGGAACGTGCCTCAGGTGCATGGTAACCACCACAGGACTCCACAGGTAGTAAGTATTCAAAGGAGTATTTGAACTCAAGGCTTCCTGACCCCAAACCCAGCACTCTGTCCACTCTGCCTCCCTGCCTCTGCATCATTGAATTGTCCACCTCTAATTTAAAAAATAGATTGAAAAGTTACTTGTCATCAATACTACACACTAGTATGAGACATGGATACAAACCTTGTCCATTGGATTCATGCTCTACATTATAGTGAACACATGATACTAATAAGAGAAAACTAGTGGATAAGGTCTGGATAACGTCAGATGTGTGTCATTTATTTAAAGTTCTTGATTCTCAACATGTTATCTCTGTTTTCCCCAACACTGTTGTGTGTAACTCCACTGGTCCTTATTTCCCCATCCCATGAAATAGTGGTGTCAAACTCAAATAGAAACAGGGGCCACTAAATCATACAGAAGGATCCTTGCAGGCCACATGTTGACTTAGAAAACCACATATCAATATTTTCTACACTCTGTTTATTTTTATTTATTTTGTTAATATTTTCCAGTTACATGTTAATCTGGTTTTGGCCATACTTGGGAGCGTTAGGGGCCACAGGTCATATACTGACACCTCTGCTGTGATTTTTGATCTTTGACCACATATTATACATCACTCATGTTATTTGTGAGAGACAGCATTGTATAACAGAAAGAGAACTGAACTTGGAACTGCAGGACTTTTGAGCTCATTTGCTGTCCATGTGACCTTGGAAAATACCTAGGTTTTAGTTTCCTCCTTTGCAAAATGAAGGGATTGGGCAAGATGGCCCCTGAGGTCCTTTTCTTTCAGCACTGGGCCTTTGCAGTATCTGTCCTCTGAATCATTTTTCTCCCAAGGCATATATCAACATCAGTGATATCATTAAACTAGGATGTTGCTGTTGAGACATTTTAGTCATGTCTGACTCTTTGTGAGCCCATTTGGGCTTTTCTTGGCAAAAATACTGGAGTGGTTTGCCATTTCCTTCTCTAGCTCGATTTACAGGTGAGGAAACTGAGGCAAACAGGGTTAAGTGACTTGCCCAGGTCACATAGCTCGTTAGTTTCTGAGGCTGGCTTTGAACTCGTGTCCTCCTGACTCCAGGGCCAGCATTCTTATCCATTGCACCATCTAGCTGCTAAACTAAGAGTTTAGCCCTCCTACAGGCTAGAGACCAACTTCCCTTTGTGGGACATGCTGCCTCACCAGCATGGCTAACATATAGGCCTTTAATAAAGCCATTGGTTGATGATGATTCTTCTCAAGGTTAATTCTTCCCTTCTATCTCCCACTCCTATAGATGTATAATGAAATTATGCTAGCCCTCGAAGCTGCGGTCAAGGATGACTCGTTCCTAACCGTTATCACAGGTATTCTGTTTTGTGGGACATCTTGCTCCTGTATTTGGATAGATCCCTAACGTGGGTGGGAGATTGGATTAAATGTTCTCAAGGGTCTTTTCCAAGATTCTGTGTAAGATTCTATGATTCTAGTCCACTGATACTAGGGAAATAATTTTCTTTCCACATACAGTGTTGCTATTCTCTGTATTTTGGCTTTTAGACTTGATCAGCTGTAGTGTATATAAATGGAAAATGGAAAATGAAGAAAAGAATGTTTCCTCCTCACTAAGAAATCAGCACCCTGTAAACCTGGGTAAATGGCTGCTATTTGTGTACTTATGGTCCTGGAGAAGTCACTTGACCATTTCTCTGCTTCATTCCTCCAGCCTTAAAGTGAAAATACAGATGATGGGCCCTGCCTAGATTTGAGAGTTTGTGGGCAACAGATAGGAAAGCCTAACTAATTTTAAAATGTCTTTTAAGCAATTTACCTTCCTTTATCCCCACTTTGTCAGATAAGAATTCTTCATAAAACCTAGTGACATAATGATGAGGCATTCAGTTATAGGTAGATTCAAGTAGCTTAAAGATTAATGCTTCATTAGTACCTTGGATGGTATTTGTTAGTTCTGTTGGTTAGTTCTGTTGAGCCCAGAGCTGATTTCTTTAAGATTCTGTGGATCAGCCTATTCATTTTAATAATTTATTAGGGTACTCTTCAGGATATTGTGCATTGAAATGCCTAATTGCAGAAATAATTGAGTTTTGGCATAAATAGATATTAGTGATGGCATGATATCTATTTTTACTCAGTAATAACTGCTCATATTTATATAGCAGTTCAAGGTTATTGGGCATTTTTCTTGCCATAAGTATTGTCCCTGCTTTACAGATGAGAAAATTGAACCTCAGAAAGGTTAAGGAACTGTTCCAGGGTGGCACAGTAAGTTTTAGCAATCAGGATTTGCACCCTGGTCTCTATACTTCCTTGATGCATCATACTATATAGTAGACAACTTCATGAGTTTCTGTTGCCCAAAAAAAAAAAAAAAAGTTAATTTCAGCCTGCTGATGATTAAAGCGTTTTGAAAAATCCCTTAAAATGTCTGTTTTTTCAGGAATTGAAAGAAAAGCTCAGATTTTGAAGATGTAGACCATCCACTACACCTGTTGATAAAATAAATACTGAGTATCTACTCTGTTGAATAGGCCATGCTGGATGCCCAAGGAGATAAAAAGGGAATGAGCCCCCCCAAGAAGCTTACAGTTTAGTGGAAAATGAGACATGATCACAGATAACATAACATACTATTTATATATACTGTGTATACATACTATATATAAATATAAATACTATAACAATATAAAATATAATAATAAATAATATATATTCATACACTATTTAATAAATGCCATAAGAATGGCTCTCTGGGGAAAGGAGGGAGAGGGATATAGGGGGAAATGTATTTGAGATAGATACCAATAAAAATGTATTTCAAAACAAAACATGTAGATGTTAGACAAGCTAGATATCTCTGCTGGGAGTGGGAGAGGTTTTTGAGCCAGGCCTTGAGAGATGGGAAAGATTTAGACAGGAGGAACCCTGGGAAAGCAGTCCATGGTAAACAGAAGGAGCATAAGAGAAAAGTACAAGAAGGCCCAGGCCATATTTAGGGGATGACTGGTGTATTGGGTGTGCAGAGGATAGATAGTATTGGGAGATAAGGCTAGAAAATGAAGATGAGACCAGATTATGGTAATATCAAGCTCAGGTACAGGCAGTGGAGAACCAGCTTTATTGTAAGTGACACTATAAGATATTTAGCTAGAAAAAAGTCATCTGGCAGACATGTACAGGGTAAATAGGCAGGCAATGAGGTAGAAGGCTATTGTTGCCTTAGGTTAAATATGCTGTAATATGAACCTGAATTAAAGTGATAGCTTGAAAGGAAAGGAGGGGAGGGAGGAGAGAGACAATTACAAAGGAGATATTGGCAGGACTTGATAACTGTTTGGCTAGGGGAAACAAGGGAAAGGGAAGAGTCAAAAATGACTGAAGTATTGAACCTAGATAGCTAAAAGAATGGAGGTTCCATTGACAGAAGCATATGAAGTAGGTTTTCTTTGGGAATATGGAGGGAAAAGGTAGTGATAGGAGGAAAGATGATGAGGTCAGTTTTAGGTCTTTTGTTTTTGAGATGCTAAACTGGAATTCAGAAAAGAGGACTGGCTAAAGACAGACTTGAAAATCATGCGTGTGGTAGTAGTACTAGAAGTTATGGGAGTGAATTGGGTCACTGAGAGAGGAGAGAGAAAAAAAACTAAGGAGAGATTTTCAGAAATGTCTGCATTTAAGAGCAAGGCAAAGGGAAAAGGTCTATCAAAGAAAACATAAAAGAAACAGTCAACAAGGTTAGGAGATCCAAGATTATGCAGTGTCATAGAAAAAATAGGCAAAGATTTTAGAGAAGAGGGTGATCAACAATATCTAGTACTATAAAGGTTAATTTCTCTTTTGTGTATTACCACCTTAGTTTGCGTGGTATAATAGAACATAGTGTAATAGGCCCACTTTTAAAATCTATTAGAACAAATTGTGGTATATGATTGTGATGGAATACTATTGTGCTATAAGAAATGATGAGCAAGATGCTCTCAGAAAAATCTAGAAAGACATGCATGAACTGATACAGAGTGAAATGAGCAGAACCAGGACAACATTGTACATAGTAACTACAGTATTGTACAATGATCAACTATGAATGACTTATCTATTCTCAGCAATACAGTGATCTAAGACAATTCTGAAGGACTTATGATGAAAAATGTCATCCACCTCCAGAGAAAGAACTGATGAAATCTGAATGCAGATCAAAGCATACTTTTTTTACTTTATTTTTCTTGGGTTGTTGTTTTGTTTAGTTTTTTGGTCTGTGTTTTCTTTCACAACATGACTAATGTGGAAATACGTTTTTTATGACTGCTTATGTATAACCTATATAAAATTGCTTGCCTTCTAAATGAGGGGTAGAGAAGGGGGAGAGAGAATTTGGAACTCAAAATTTCCAAAAACAAAGGTTAAAAATTGTTTTTATATGCAACCCAAAAAAGGTAAAATCTATTAAAAGAACCCATAACTTTAATAATGGTAATCATTGTCTGAGATTTTGTCCAGAGTGAAGAGTGATCCTTGTACAAATATTGATTTAAAACAGATTGCTAATCAAAGAAGAGGCTGTTAAACTTTGGGAGAGGTCTTTAGAGTGGGAGAACCAAGTAATATTTTCTCCAGCTAACCCTCTTGGCTTGTAGATATGCTTCATGTAAATGGGTAGAAGACTCTGTTTGTGCATAGGTATATGGATCCCCAGGGCTTAGTCACCTCCTAAGTTCAGCCTGAGTGTTCCCCTGGAAGCTTTGCTCACTTGGGGGTTCCCTGGTTCCCTCAGTGCTAAACTCCCAGGTAAGCTACTGCCTAGATAATAGCTATAACACCTCCTCACTCCCCCCAAAGCCCCAAGACAATGGTAGGAGAGGATTTCCATCAGAGAATACGTAGTTAACTCTTCTCCAGACCAGGAATTTCTTGGTCCCAAGTCATAACCCTAGTGTGAACAGTTATCCCCTTCAGTCATAGTTTACCCCATATTAGACAGTACCTATACCAAACAAGGATTCCCTAGATGGATAGCAGGAAGATAATGACAATAATACTAAGTAATAATCTCCATTGATATATTACTTTTAAGGTCTTGAGAACACTTTTCTTATCATTAACCTGTGAGATGGGTAGATGTTTTATTGTCCCTTATTTATTAGACCCCATAGTATGAGCCCTTATAAGCACTCTTCTCTTATGCTCTGAAACGAGTGTTCTTAGCCTGGGATCCATGAACCCTTTGAAGGTCCATGGATAGATTTCATAGAGTTAGGTGACACAGTGGATAGGTGAGCTGGACTTAGAGTCAAGAAGATCTGAGTTCAAATCTAGCATCTATATACTAGCTATGTAACCCTAGGCAAGTCACTTAACCCCTGCCTCCATTTCCCCACCTGTTAAATGTAGATAAGGATTCTTGTGAGGATCAAATGAGATGATATTTGTCAGGTACTTTGCAAACCCTAAAGTGCTATATAATTGCTATTTGTTATTATTTCGGGGGGGGGGAGTCTACAAACATGAATAGGAAAAAAAATAGCTATTTTATTTTCATTAACCTCTGACTGAAATTTAGGACTTCCTTCAGTTACTTAAAAACATTCTTCTGAGAAGGAGTCCTGAGAAGGAGTCACCAGCATGTCAAGGGGTCCATGACACAAGCTTAATAGCCCCTGCCTTAAAATTACATCACAAGTGTAAATAGCATAAAACTTATGATCAGATGTCACTGCTGTTCACCTGGGTTGCCCTGGGTTAATTTTGAATTGCACATAAAATAAAAATCACACTTTACTGCTTATCTCCAAACCATCTGAGTAGATTCTCAAGAATAAGCCATCCCATTTTCCCTCTTCATCTAGACATGTAAATTAACCTACACACATAGTGTTTTGGACTTTTTTCAAGGGAGTTGGTTATTATGGCATCCTTTCCCTCCCACTCTCCTGAGTATTTTTTTCATACAGTTTTTTTTCCCTAAATCTCCACATTGAGTTTAAACATTCTTTGGTCTCCCATCATCTTCATTCTAGAGAGTCATCGAGATAATGTTAGGGTGCCTGACATATCTGATACTGAAAGTCACCCTTAGGTCTTCCTTTGAGGTTCTAACACACAGGGCCTATCTGTTCAACTAAAGCCAAACTAACCCAACTTTGGAATTTTATACATATTTTTACCAGTTCTCCATTATTAATATCTGACAGTCTACTTCAGGCTAATTGCACAGTATTATGAAGGAAAAAAAATGTCAAGATGTAAATGTATGACCAAAAGCAGTTATAATTCTGTAATTTATTATTGCATTAAAACCCACAATATCTGTTGCATTTTTCCTTCTGAAATTCTTTTATGATGATGCTGATTTTTGTTGGTTTTAGGAAATGGTGATTATTATTCCAGTGGGAATGACTTTAGTAAATTTGCAACAATTCTACCAAATGAAATTGAAAAGAGAATTGAAGATGCCTCCATGTTACTGAGGTAGGAATGGCATTTACCTGGTTCTAAAAAACTTTTATTTGTTCATCAGAATTGCACTTTTATGTGAAGAAGTAAAAAAGGTTTTCCTATATTTCTAATAAAAATATTTAGTAAACAAGCAAGCATAGTTCTTTATTTTTAATTGTATTTTAATTTTTATTAAATATTTTTGAATTATTTTAAAAAACTTTTAACATTCATTTTTTTAAATTTTAAGTTCCAAATTCTCTTCCTCCTCCTCTATTCATGGAGAAGGCAAGCAATGTGATATCAGTTATAGATGTGAAGTCATACAAAACATATTTTCCTATTAGCCATGTTGCAAACACACACACACACACACACACACGAAAAATAAAGTTTAAAAAGTAAAACATAGTTCTTTAAACTGCTCCTATTATTTGATGTTCCTACTTTTTGCAATTTGTTAACTATATTTGATGCTGCTGCCCATGAAAATTTGATTAAGTATCAGTTGACATACGAAATGTTTCAAAAAAAGAAAAAGAAAATGGGGGCAGTTAAGTGGCACAGTGGATAGAGCACCGGCCCTGGAGTCAGGAGGACCTGAGTTCAAATGTGGCCTCAGACACATAACACTTACTAGCTGTGTGACTCTGGGCAAGTCACTTAACCCCAGTTGCCTCACCAGAAAAAAAAAATGTTTCTACTTGTTGAGGTAACAGGCAACAGATTTTAGCAAATGCTCAACCCATCCAGAGGATTTAATGATTAGAACCACCTCCTCCAATTATAAATTCTTCTAGATCGGTCCCATCATATTTTCATAAAAGTTTTTAATAATAGTATCAATATTGATAATAGTATTGTAATGGTATTAATGCAACTAGTAATCTTGTCTTTTAATAATAGCTTTTGATAACATTTTTTGGTTTGAACATTTCAATGGGAAAAGCAGGGGGCCCATATGTTCCTTCCAGGATCTTGAATTCCCACTGCTGGGACACTGTAGCATGATGTCTAAAAGACCCATATTTATCTAAAGGGTCACGGTCTCCTTACAGACTTTGGGCCAATACTACCCTTGACATTAAAATTTTGGAATCTTGAAATTTGTGGGATACACACACACACACAATTTTTTTTAAAGGCCCAATGTGTCAGAACCTTAAAGGAAGGCCTAATCAAGACTTGTAATATCAGATATGCCAGATGCCTTAATATTACCTCGATGACTATCTAAAATGAATATAACGGGAGGCCGAAGAAGTTTTAAAATGAATGTAGAGATAGATATAGGTTGTTGTATTGGACACTCTTCATCTGGTCACAGGGATCCATGAACTCAAGCTTAGAAATATTTCTCCTCCATTATATAGTTTCATTATTGATGTTCTAGGGGAAAAAATGTAGACTATTATGTCCATTGTTTTTCTTTCTTTGTCTTTTAGGAAATTTGTTGACCATTTTATAGATTTCCCCAAGCCTCTAGTTGCAGTGGTAAATGGCCCTGCTGTAGGAATCGCAGTTACACTTCTTCCCCTATTTGACATCATATATGCAACTGACAGGGTAAGTTATCTTTTCATTTCTCTTTTTAAGTTATCATTATCATTAATATAATTCTTTGTAGCAGTGGTATGGTTACTGAATGAATTGCACAGAATTTTGGTCGCTACATTTATATTTCCAGAGTCTAAGTCCCAAGTATAATAAAAATGACTTTTTGTTTGGAAGAGGGATGATTCCTTCCCCCCCTCCTTTTTTTTTTTCTGAAAAACAGCTGAATTCTTCTTAGTGAGGCATGCTGGTCAATATATCAGGCAGCCTTATTATTCATTTTTCAGTTTAAAACTGCTTTATAAAAATGTTGCTTAATAATCATAGAAGATTTGTCATAAAAATTGTAAATGAATTAAAAAAATAAAGAATCATTTTGTAATCCACTTCTCCCAAGTACACATATCTTAGAACCTTGAGATGTTAGTGCTATAATCAACTTTAAAGGTTATATAATCAAATCAAATGGGAAAAGGGAAAATGGGCATTGGAATAAGCATTTATACAGCACCTATTATGTGCCCCCCCCGTTTTTTTTTTAACAAATATTGTCTCATTTGAACCTCATAATGACCCAAAGAGGCAAGGAAGACATATATTATTTATTTATAGCAAACATTTAGATTATGCCTACTATGCACCAGACACTTGCTAAGCACTTTACAAATATTATCTTATTTGATCCTCACATCAATGAAGTAGGTGCTATCATTATTCCCATTTTAAAGTTGAGGAAACTGAGACAAACAGAGATAAAGTGACTTACCCAGGGTCACACAGCTAGAGTCTGACATCAGATTTGAATTTGGGTTTTCCTGACTCTAAGCCCAACACTTTATCTACTGCCTCCGATAACATATGTAATGTGATTTGCAGACCCTAAAGCACTAAATGCTAGCTCTGTTATTATTTTTGTTATATATAATCAAACCCCATCATTTTACTGAGAAGGAAACAGTTCCAGGAAGTTTAAGTGGCTTATTGAAATTCACATAGCCAATGAGAGACTTTATGTTCCCAAAAAGTTCACCTTTCATAAAGGAGTACTTTATTCCTAGATTTGTCTAACCCTGTCTAGCATAGAAGACCCTAACTAATTTTGTGGGCCTCCAACTGTTTCACACAGTAATAATTTCCTTCCCCAGTAATTTTTGCTCACATTTTTATAAGTTTTCCCAATTCAATAAATGATCATGATCTATTCATCATTTGGGATATGTTTTGCTTTTCCTAAGGGATGGATTTCTTGTTCTGTGCTAAGTATTCCGTCTGGAGAAGATAGTCATGTTTCAGAACACTCAATTACCTCAGTGATAATGCCTGGTTATCTCATCACCTGACTCCATTCAACCTGACCCTGTAGAACACATTGTCAGAAATAATGCTTTTAAGCAATCGATCAACAAGAGTTTATTCAAAGCTTGCTCTGTGACCAGGTGCCATGCACACGAGAATACAAAGAAAAATTTTTTTAAATCCCTGAATTTTCCTGAAAATCAAAAGAGAGGTTAATAAAATTGAAAGAGAACCATTGAACTAATAAATAAAACTAGGGGCTGGTTTTATGAAAAACCAATAAAATAGATAAACTATTGGTTAATTTGATTAAAAACAAAAGAAAGAAAGAAGAAAACCATACTACCAGTATCAAAAATGAAAAGGGTGAATTCACCACCAATGAAGAGGGAATTACAGCATTATTAGGAGTAATTTTGCCCATTATATGTCAATAATTCTAAAACTCTAAGTAAAATGGATGAATGTTTACAAAATATAAGTTGTCCAGATTAACAGAACAGGAAATAGAATACTTAAATAATCCTGTCTTAGGAAAAGAAATTGAGTAAACTATCAGTGAGCTCCCTAAGAAAAAATCACCAGGACCAGATGAATTCACAAGTGAATTCTACCAGACATTTAAAGAACAATTAATTCCAATACTGTATAAACTATTTGGAAAAATAGGCAAAGAAGAAGTCCTACCAAATTCCTTTTATGACGCAAATAAGGTGCTAATATCTAAGCCAGGAAGAGCAAAAACAGAAAGAAAACTATAGACCAATTTTTCTAATGAATTTAAATAAAATACTAGCAAGGAGATTACAGCAATATATCATAAAGATCATCCATTATGAGTAGGTGGGATTTATAGCAGGAATGCAGGGCTGGTTCAATAAGAAGAAAGCTATCAGCATAATTGACCATATCAATAAAAAAAAAAAATAGAAATCATATATTTATCTCAATGGATTCAGAAAAGGCTGTTGACCAACTACAACACTCATTCCTATTAAAAACACTAAAAAGTATAGGAATAATACACAGTAGTAAACAACCATAGTAATCTAGTGCTTGATAAATGCAAAGATCCAAGCTTTTGGGACAAGAACTCACTATTTGACAAAAATTGCTGGGAAAACTAGAAAGCAGTTTGGCAGAAACTAGGTATAGACCAATTTCTCACACTGTATACCAAGATTAGGTCAAAATGGGCACCTGATATAGACATAAAGGGTGATACCATAAGCAAATTAAAGGAGCATAAAATAGTTTACCTATCCGATCTATGGATAAGGGGAGAATTTATGACCAAACAAGAGAGAGCATTATGGGATATAAAATGGATCATTTTGATTACTTTAAATTAAAAAGATTTTACACTGACAAAACAAGTACAAATAGAATTAGAAAGAAAGCAAAAAACTGGGAGAAAATTTTTTCACAGCAAGGTTCCATGATAAAGGCGTCATTTTTCAAATATATAGAGAACTGAGTCAAATGTATAAGAAAACAAGCCATTCCCTAGTTGATAAATGGTCAAAGGATATGAACAGGAAGTTTCAGAAGAAGAAATCAAAGCTATCTATAGTCATGAAAAAATGGTATTAATTCACAGTTGATTAGAGAAAAGCAAATTAAAACAACTTTGAGGTTCTAGCTTACATCCATCAGATTGACTAATATGACAGAATAGGAAAATTAACAAATACTGGAGGGGATGTGGGAAAATTGGGACACTAGTGGACTGTTGGTGGATTTGTGAACTGGTCCAGCCATTCTGGAAAGCAATTTGGAGCTATTCCCAAAAGGCTATAAAACAGTGTGTACTGTTGCAATAAAAATCTGCAAATAAGGGAAACTCAGGTCAAAGTTCTAAGCACAGGGGCAGCTAGGTGGCACAGTAGATAGAGCACCAACCCTGGAGTCAAGAGGACCTGAGTTCAAATCCAGCCTCAAACCAAATACTTGACACTTACTAGCTGTGTGACCTTGGGCAAGTCACTTAACCCCAATTGCCTTTAAAAAAAAAAGTTCTAAGCACAGTCATTTATTTGCAAGGCTAGCAGTTTACAACTAATCTGGTCATCTGCCTCCTCAGTAGTCAGGGACAAACACAGGGGTTTTACAGAGCTTCTTTTATAGTAGTAAAACAGGATCTGGGAAATTATAGAATCTTGAAAAACTTGTTTGGTTGAAACAGGTCACTTGACTTGAGGTTGGGCTAGATGTATCCTAGAACAGGGCAGATGTAATTTGTCACTATGGCCAGCATTCGGGGTATAGGCATGTTGAGAGTGAAAGGGAACATTTCACAGGAGGGACAACCACCACCTAACTTAGTTGGTCAAGATACCATATCAATCTGTCCATCAAGGGAGTTAATGGTTATTGTCCTTCCTTCTCCAAGAGGACCAAAATGACATCACTGTGTTGGGTCAAGGTATGGTGTGTCCGACTGTGGCTGATCAGACCAGTACAAGCTCAGAAAGTTCTACCACAGGTCGGGCACAAATCGTCCATATGAACATTTGTAGTGGAGATGTCTTTAAATTTGCACATCTCGTGTTTCTTTTGAGCTCCTGTAGTTCTGCTTTGCTTATAAAGCACAGTGCCTTCTTTGATGTGGGCATGTCATGCTGGGCAGTCCCATCAAGGGAGTATTGCACTAACTGAAATGTCCTGTTACTATGGTAGGGGCTGTCAAAATGTTAACTGAACACAGAGCTAAACACAGAGGGTAACTTAGACTTGAGAAATGAGGAAATATTTATGCTAGCTTAACTCAGCTACAGGGACTCAGCTCTGCAAAAATGAGGAACTTAGTCTGTGACTATGGTGATTATATACCTCTTAATCCAGAAACTATCTGAATTAGACCTTACAAGCTAAAATAAATCTTCAGGATAATCAATACTAACTTAATTAGGAATTATTTTTATCAATACCCTTTGACCCAGCAATACCACTATTAGGTCTGTATCCCAAAGAGATTTTTAAAAAAAAGAAAGGAAAAGGACCTATATGAACAAATATTTATAGCAGCTCTCTTTATGGTGGCAAAGAATTGGTGGTTGAGGAAATGCCCATTAATAGGGGAATGGCTGAATAAGCTGTGGTATGTGATTGTAATGGAGTACTATTGTGGTATAAGAAATGGCTATCAGGATGGTTTCAGGAAAAATCTGGGAATACTTATATGAAATGATGCAAAATGAAGTGAGCAGAACCAGTAGAACATTTTACACGGCAAGAGCGATATTGTACGACGATCAACTGTGAATGAATTAGCTATTCTCAACAAAACAGTGACTGAAGACAATTCCAAAGCACCCATGATGAGAAATGCTATCCACTTCCAGAGAAATAATTGATGGAGTCTGAATGCAGATAGAAGCATACTTTTTTTTTCTTGTGTGTGTGTGGTGGGGAGGGTGGGTCTGTGTTTTATTTCACAGCATGACTAATATGGAGATATGTTTTGCATGATTGCACATGTATATATATATATATATATATATATATATATATATATCCTATATCAAATTGTTTGCCTTCTCAAGGAAGGAAGGAAAGGAGAGAATTTGGAACTCAAAATAAAAAATATATATATATGTAAAATTGTCTTTACAATTGGAAAAAAATCGCTGCCCTCGTGGGTTTACATTCTGATAGCATAAGCAAGATATACATAAATTGGTACATATAAGACAAGCACGGAGTAGATGTAAGGTGATCTTAGGTAGATGGAAAACACTGTGCTAGGTGCTAGGGATACAAAGGTAAAACAATCCTGACCTCAGGGGTCTTACAAAGGGAGAAGGAGAGGGAGATACAAGTAAAGGGATGAGTAAATATAAAATAATCTGAGAATAATTGCTCGCATTTATATAGGGTTTGCAAAGCACTTTACAAATATCATCTCATTTGATCCTCACAACCACCCTGTGAGGTAGGTGCTATTTATTATTCCCATCTTACAGATGAAGAAGCTGAGGTAGACAGAGTTTAAGTGACATACATCCAGGGGCCATACACCGAAGTAAATGTCCAGGGTTGGATTTAAAGTTACGTCTTCCTGACTGCAGGTCCAGGACTTTATCTACTGCACCGCTGAACTGCTAGAGGAGAAGGGAGAAAACACTTAGATTTTGTGAGATTAGCAAAGACTCCCTATAGAAGAGAACACCTGAGCTGATTGGAAGGAAGGATCTCAGAGGTGGGGAGGGCAGTGCATTCCTGGTACAGGGGCACATTATAAGGTTACTGAGCCGTGGACTATGAAAAGGCAAAGTTCTGAAGACATGAAGTTCATCAATTTGACAAGAGCATGAATTACAGAAGAGTAAGGTGAACTAAAACTGGCACCAGGTTGTGGGACATTACATCTCCTTTAGAATTAAAAAGTATAGCCACATAAACACTTCTTCTGCCCTGATTTTTACTGTCTTTCCATCTCTATTTTAGAATTCAGGATGAGAAAAAAGTGATTCTGTCCAAGGATTTTGCCCAACTGTATTGTAAACAAAAAGCATTCAATAAAAATAAAGAAAACATTACTCAGACAGGCCGCTGTTGATGAGAGGGCACCCAGGCATCAGCTAATGACTGGGGAAGGAAATGAAAGAGTTTTGGACTGGGAATCTAGACTCCTGTATTCTAAGCAGCTCCACTACTGACTTAATACTTAGTAAATATCTTCACCTTTCTAGGACTCTGTTCCCTCATCTATATAGTGAAGGGGTTAAACTAGATGACCTCACAGGACCCTTCCAACCCTGAAAATCTATGCAGCAGGAGTAAGCTATACAAACTGTAGTACATAGACAGGAAGCACTGCCCCTCTCCCCAAACTGAGGACCTCACCTCTTATTCTATTGAGAAAATTGACTCATTGTGCCAGGAGCTCCCTCTTCTCCCTTTCTCATCGTCTCAAAACTTCTTGACATCATCTGCCACTCTCACCTCCTTTACTCTGTAATAATGAAGCAGCCCTTCTCCTTGCCCAGGCCAAGCCCATTTGTAGGTACCCTTGATCCCATCCCTCCTGTCTTCTCTACCAAATTGTATGTACCCTTAATCATCACCTCTCATTCTTTAATCATTTTTTCATTCAAAACATATTTCTATATTAGCCATGTTGCCCTCCCCCCCAAAAAAGTAAAGGAAGTAAGAAAATATGTTTCAATCTTACTTAATTCATCAGTTCTCTCTCTGGAAATGGATAGCATTCTTTTTTTTTTCTTAATCTTTTTAAAATTTATTTCATTAAATATTTCCCAGTATAAAAAATTTTAACATTTTTCTTAAATTTTGAGTTCTAAATTCTGTCCTTCCCTCCTGGTTCTCCCCCCTCCTTAAGAAGGCAAGCAATTTAATATCAGTTATACATGTGAAATCATGCAAAACATATTTTGTTTTGCAACATAGTATGTTGCAAAAGAAAACAAACACAAGAAAAATAAAGAAAATGAGAAAAGTATGCTTCCGTCTACCTTCAGAATTCATCAGTTCTCTCTCTGGAAGTGAATAGCATTTTTTGTCATGGGTCCTTTGGATTTATCTTAGATCATTGTCTTGATTAGAATAGCTAAATCTTTCACAGTTGATCATCTTACAGCGTTGCTGTTACTATGTAAAATGTTCAGCTGGTTCTGCTTACTTCACTTTACATCAGTTCATAAGTCTTCTCAGGTTTTTCTGAAACCATCCTGATTATTGTTTCTTATAATAACATAATATTATTCCATCACAATCACATATCGCAATTTGTTCAGCCATTCTTCAGATAATGATCCCCTCAATTTCCAATTCTCTGCCATCACAAAAAGAGCTACTATAAATATATTTGTACATATAGTTCATTTTTCTTTTTTTAATCTCTTTGGGATACAGACCTAATAGTGGTATTTTTGGGTCAAAGAGTTTTATAGCCACAGAGAGTCTTACAGTCACAGTTTATAGCCCTTTGGGCATAGTTCCAAATTGCTCTTCAGAATGGTTAGATCAGTTCACAACTCTACCAGCAGTGCATTAGTGTACCTATTTTTCCACGTCCCTTCCAGCGTTTGTTGTTTTCTTTTCTGTCATGTTAGCCAATCTGATAGATGTGATGTGAGACCTCAGAGTTATTTTAATTTGCATTTCTGTAATCAGTAGTGATTTATAATATTTTTCATATGATTATTGATAGCTTTTATTTCTTCTTCTGAAAACTGCTTCATATCCTTTGACCATTTGTCAGTTGGGGAATGGCTTTTATTTTTATAAATTTAAATCAGTTCCCTATATATTTAAGAAATGAAGCCTTTGTCAGAGAAACTGGCTATAAAATTTTTTTTCCCAGTTTTCTGCTTTCCCTCTAATCCTGGCTGCATTAATTTTGTTTGTGCAAAACCTTTTTAATTTCATGGAATCAAAATCATCCATTTTACTTCTTGTGATCCTTTCTGTCTCTTGTTTGATCATAAATTCTTTCATTATCCATAGAACTGACAGTCTTATTCTCTAATCTTAACCTTTCTCTATCTACTGGTTCCTTCCCTGCTGCCTTCAAACATGCCTAAGTCTTCTCATCCCTAAAGACTTCCATTACGCTCTACCGTCTACTTCCCATATTGCTCCTCCCTTTCTCAATTTAACTCCTAGAAAAAAACTGTCTGTATTTATATTGACTCTACTTCCTCTCATTCCTCAACCCTTTGCAATATCACTTCTGTTTTTTTATTGCTTAATTAAAATTGTTCTTTCCAAAGTTATCAGATATCAATTGCCAAATATGAAAATCTTTTCTCAGTCCTTACCCTTCTTGTCCTCTTAACACCTTGACACTGTTGACCACTTTCTCTACCTAGAGCCTCTTTCTTCTTTGGGTCTTCATGACACTACTATCTCCTGGTTCTCCTACCTGTCTGACAGCTCTCTTTTGTTGACTCATCATCCATATCATACCATCTAACTATGAGTATTCTTTAAGACTCTGCTGTGGGCCTTCTTCTTTTCTTTGTCCACACTCTTTCTCTTTCCTTCAAAACCCGTCTTCCAGACTTCCCTATTTCTGTCAAAGGTTCCACCGTTCTTTGGTCAGTTTGTTCTTTCTCGGAAACTCCATGATTCTGACTCACCTTTCTCGCCATGTGAGCAAAAGACCTATTTCCCTGCGCTGTCTTTCCTACATACTAAAAAAGAATTATATCATAGTCAATACACTCTTCCCCAAAAAATCAGTCTTTGAAGCCAAGTTCTTCTCCAATGTGTACCTCATGTGGATCTGTTACCATTTTAACAGTAGTATCTATCTAATTGGTATCTGTTACTGATCTTTCCAAAACTATAGCTGAGATATTCTGTTTATATCCCTCTATTTGCAATTGTGTCTGCTTTATTTAATCAAGGAGCATTTTTTTAAGGTAAGATTTCATCTGAAAAATGAAGATTTAAAATGCTCTTGATTTCTTGCTTGCTCACTAATTCAGCTATAAATTTTAAAAGCGCCTTTGAAAAACATTTAGGGAAAAAAATCAGCCCATGTATCTAATCATAATCTAAATGAAAAGCTGAATGAAACCTAAGCATTCAGTTTAGACTATAATTATTGTAAATTAGTTCCCTTCCATCTAAAATTCATGAAGACTTTTATTCTTTGTGAAGCACAGAAAAAATTCAAGACCTGAGGAAAATCTAAGAATGTCCATGCTTTAGGCAATTTTCAAGTTAACTAAAAATCCTTTAAAACTAACTGGTTTTCATTTAAAACCACCCTAGGTATGGTGATGGCACACACCTGTAATCCCTGCTGTTGGAAAGGCTACAGCAGGTGGTTCTCTTGAGTTCAGGGGTTCTGAGCTATAATAGGGCTAAAGCTGATCCATACTAAGCCTGGCACCAATGCTATTAAAACTCCCCTCTCCCTCCCCAGGGAGCAGGGGGCTACCAGGCTGCCTAAGAAGGGACAAATCAGCCCATATTAGAAGCAGGTCAAAAACTTGGTGCCAGTCACCAGTGGGAGCAAACCCACTGCATTTCCAGCCAAGGCAAGGAAGACCTGGTCCTACAAAAATGAAATTAGATAGACAGATAGATAGATGGATAGATAAATAAAACCAACTGAAAAGTCACAACAAGAGTGTTTTTGTTTGTTTTAACAGGCAACATTTCAGACACCATTTACTCAACTGGGCCTGAGTCCAGAGGCATGCTCCTCTTATACCTTTCCAAAGATAATGGGTCCAGCCAAGGTAAAATCATTGAAATCTTAGTGGGTGGCATGGGGAGAATAAGGCCAATGTGTTACATAACACCTTCTTTTAACATTTTGTTAATTGTTTTAAGTATAAAAGAACATCATGTATTATTTTGAAGAGTTGTGCAGAACTAACTTCTTGGGAATGTGGGCATTTGCCTGTTAACCCATCCTAGCCAGATATCATAGAGGAACAGAACAAGAAACAGTTGGTGTCAAAAGATGGCCCATGGTCACATAAGTGGTTATGTAAGTTTTACAAGGGCAGTTACATAATAGAGCTGTGTTACTATTATATAACCATGATACCCAGATGTAAAATATACTGAGATCATGTCCTTGTTTCCCACTCGTACACATGGTGTTGTCTCTTCTGTGGGTTAGGGCTCCTGAGAGCTGTTGGCATTTTTTATGAGATCTTTTGGGGTAGAAACTAGGCATGCAGTGAAGATCAAGCTTAGTATTTGCCCATCCCTGCTTCTCACTTGTATCTCTCTTTCCCAAGAGCTGCAGATTACACCAAGCAAATGTCCCAGTGCCCACAGAGGATAGATTAACCCCTGACTATCAGGTGCCTTATGTTTATTTCATCAAGCTAATATCTTCACCTTGCTTTTCAATTTAGGCAGCTGAGATGCTTCTTTTTGGAAGGAAGTTAACAGCCCAAGAAGCTTATGCTCAAGGACTTATTACTGAGGTTTTTCCTGATAGCACTTTTCAGAAAGAAGTTTGGACCAGGTTGAAGGCATACTCACAACTGCCCCCAAAGGTAAGTACTCATGTTTTCACATATATAGGGCTATGGAAATAACTTTCTGAAAAAGGAGGAAATTCTCCTTAAAAAGAAATAAGTAGAAAAACAGGACTTGGAATGGCATCTTGGTTTTCTAAATTTTTTAATTTTAGAAATCTTGATATGTGATATTTGCCTTTAAAAGCCCTACCTTTGGTCATTCAAATACTGAATTGAAGCAAATGACTTACAATATATTTTCCAGAAAACCTCAAACCACAGTCTTTTGATACATAGAAGCTCTTAGGGTGAGAAAGACCTCAAGCAAAACATGAAACATTTCATTTTCTTTGCATAAAACATGCAGTCGACATTTGTTATTTTAGTGACAGAAATGTAGAAGGGGCATTGAGGGGAGTAGAGAGTTACTCTGTGACATGACACTTAGTGTTATGCCACAACTCTAAAGCCAGTTTCCACTTTTTTTAGAATTTTGATTTAAAGGGCCTCCACATACCATTTAATGCTATGGATAATTATTTTTCTGTAACAGAGTGAAATCTCTTCTTAGGAAAGGTCACATAACACATCATTTTAGATATTCTGAGAAGTAAAAAGTGGACTTTACTTTGTAAAGTACATTGTAGTACTTTGTAATACATTGACTAAGATTTTTTATTATTCATTCATTTTGCTGACCATTCAGTAATTTAAAAATTTTTATCTATTTTCTCCCCCTCACTTCTTCCATTGGAAAAAAAAAAAACCCTTAAAACAAATGTACATAGTCGAGCAAAACAAATTCCCCCATTGTCCACATCCTAAAAATAGATGTCTCTGTACAATGAGTCCATTACCTCTCTATCAGGACATGGGTAACATGCTTCACCATCAGTCTCTAGAATCATGGTTTGTTATTACATTGATCAGAGTTCTTTCAAAGTTATTTTTCTTTCTAGTGTTGATGATAATTATACAAATTGTCATCCTGGTTTTATTCAGTTACTCTCATCAGTTCATACAAGTCTTCTCAGGTTTTTCTAAGATATTTTCTCTTTTTTCTTATGGCATAATAGTATTCCATTCCATTCCATTACTTTACTTGCTCATTCCCCACTGGATAAGCAGCCCCTTCATTTTTACTTATTTGCTGCTAGGTGAAGTCTGAGTTTTAAAAAAAAATCCTTTTCCTTCCCTTCTCCACCTTAGCTTCTAGTAAGCTTACTCCAATTCAGCAAAATGAAGAAAACCATGTTTACCTTGAGTCATTTGCAAAGCAATTAATAGACTAACATTTTTCATCAGAGTATCCCTGGGGTCTTGAAAAATTATTGAGATGTTATGTGAGCATGTGTATAAGCAGGAGGAGAAATGTGATACAGGGGCCTTCTCAGACTGTTCAGCCCCATTGATTTATCATAAATGGAGTTGGGGGAAGGTCATAGAGATGACTCATCGGGGCAAGAAGGCATATCTTATGAGAAAGTAAACAAGAGTCAAAAGGGCTGCCATTGGTGATGTCTAAACTGATAATGCAGCTTCCTAAAGTGACAGCCTTGTAGATTTGTTGACTGTACCACTTACTTCTTTAATATGGTAGCTAAATCATTCATTGTGCATTTATACAACTCTGTGTCTAAAGGTTTTATAGAGTGAGGTGTTGGAGCATACAGTGGGGGAAAAAACAACTCTGAAATTGTACTTAAAACATGCTGCCTTTTATTACAGTAATTGTGTGTGTGTGTGTGTGTGTGTGTGTGTGTGTGTGTGTGTGTGTGTGTGTG